ATTATCATCTCTTTTTTTTAATTTTTCTCTATTCATAACTTCAATATAAAACTTTTAGTTCTTAAACACTTAAATACCCTTTATGTAATAGTGTTATAATTATTAAAATTATAAAATATTATCTTTAAAAATATTAATTTAATTTAATTTAATTAATGAAAATAATTAACTATTAAATTTATTAATTAATAATAGATTAAATAATTAATATTGATTAGTTAATAAATTAAAATCAGTTAACAAATTAAATTTTCAAATATTATTAAAAAATAAAAATTTTAATGATATTAATAATATTAATAATAACAATAATCACCCCTTAACATTTATAAGTTTACACAATACTGTATCTAATAATATCTAAGTTTAAGTAAATTAGAAAACATATTTCTAATAAAAATATTGATACGATTTGAGGGCAACCTCTTTGAATGACTTATCTGCTTTGAGAGAGCATGCATGGCATAAAATCCCGTTTATAGTGAGATTTCCTTAATGGTTTAAAAAAGAGCGAGATTTCTCTTAATTTAATTTTAATTATTTGCTTACCGAAACCGTTATTAGACCATTTTGAATCCAAAAGTAAATAAAATTTTCTCCAATTGTCGCAGTGATTTTCTTTCCTCTGATTGTGTTCTCGGATTTCAAATTTTTCGGAAATCCGATCTGTGTTTTCAGGGGGCAGAGAGATTGAGTAGAAGTGATGAATCATTTTGCGGTTCCAAAATCTGTCGCAGTCGTGAGTTGTTGTTTCTAGTGAAATGGGTTGCGTCTACTCCAGAGCTTGCATCGGGGAGATTTGCGTGCCGAGGGATGCCAGAATCAAGGAGCCGCAGAGCGTCAGACCAACGCAGGTCACTGAGATTGCCGTTTTCTCTCCGGCATCGTCGAATGAGGAAGAAAGGGACCGAATTAACCCGCAATTCAGCATGAACAGAGGCGACCGTGAGTTGGGCATCACTCGTCTCTCTAGGGTTTCTTCCCAGTTTCTTCCTCCAGATGGTTCGCGCACGGTTAAGGTCCCGTCGGGAAATTACGAGTTAAGGTATTCGTATTTGTCGCAGCGAGGGTACTATCCAGATGCTCTTGATAAGGCTAATCAAGACAGTTTCTGCATTCACACTCCATTTGGAACTAACCCGGATGATGATTTCTTTGGAGTCTTTGATGGGCATGGTGAATTCGGGGCTCAGTGTTCACAGTTTGTGAAGAGAAAACTGTGTGAGAATTTACTAAGGGATAGCAGATTTCATGTGGACGCAGTTGAGGCTTGCCACTCAGCGTTTTTGACAACGAATTCGCAGTTGCACGCTGACAGTTTGGATGATAGCATGAGCGGAACCACTGCTATAACGGTTCTGGTTCGAGGGAGGAAAATATATGTAGCGAATTCTGGTGATTCCAGGGCGGTGATAGCCGAGAGGAGAGGGAAGGATATTGTTGCCGTGGATTTGTCAATTGACCAGACCCCATATAGAGCTGATGAGCTTGAAAGAGTCAAGCTTTGTGGAGCTAGGGTGCTGACGTTGGATCAGATTGAGGGGCTTAAGAACCCTGATGTGCAGTGTTGGGGCACCGAGGATGGTGATGATGGTGATCCTCCTAGGCTTTGGGCGCCTAATGGGATGTATCCAGGTACGGCATTTACAAGGAGTATAGGGGATGCAATTGCCGAGACAATTGGTGTTACCGCTAATCCTGAGATTGTTGTGTTGGAGCTTACCCCTGATCATCCTTTCTTTGTGCTTGCTAGTGATGGAGTTTTTGAGTTCCTTTCTAGTCAAACTGTGGTTGACATGGTAAGGTATCCAATAGTAGTTCTTTGTGATATCCGCAAAATGTTGTTAGAAAGAGGCTGAAGGATTTTTCTTGCTAAGAACATTTTCGTTTTGTTTATGGATTTAAGGTAGTGTTTTTTGTGAAGTTTAGGAAATTAAGTCATGAACTTTTGGGTGCAATATTTAGTTTAAGAATGTATATCATGATTCTCATAACCAGGTTTGTGCAAATACAAGTGCTCATTTGTTATTAAACTGTGCTCCATGAGGTTGAGTTGTAGAATTGAAATAAGAAAAGAAAGGAAAAGAGGAATGGAACTAGATAAAGTGTAAAATTGGAATGATAAATGCTTCTTCTTTTTTTTTTTTTTCTATCATTATGGTCAATTTTCCTTAATGTTTCCAGGTTGCAAAATGCAAAGATCCCCGTGACGCTTGTGCTGCTATTGTGGCTGAATCTTATCGACTCTGGCTACAGTATGAAACCCGTACTGATGATATCACAGTAATTGTTGTGCATGTGAATGGACTAATTGATGTAAGTGAGATTCACCATTCTTTATGTTTCACTGGTCTTTTCTTCATTTTGATATCATTCTTTACTGGTCTTAAGTGAATGAACATGTTCTTTTTTCTGTCAGACTCAAACTCAGACTCAGGTTCCTGATGGTGCATCAACTAATGCTGCTGCTGTTTTAAGGCCCCCTGTTCCTCATGTTGTAGAGATTACTGGGTCAGAATCTCCTTCACCCTTTAGCTGGAACTCCAGCAATCAGCGTGTAAGGCATGATTTATCCCGGGCACGTCTTCGTGCTATTGAGAGTTCACTGGAGAATGGTCAAGATTGGGTTCCTCCATCTTCAGCCCACAGGAAAACTTGGGAAGAAAAAGTAAGTGTTTTCTCCCATATTTATCACTTTTACTATGGTATTTATTTTCCTCACCAGGAACTTGCTTAACTTTTTTGTGTTTTTGTTTTACAGGCACACATTGAGCGGGCATTGCATGACCATTTCCTCTTCAGAAAACTAACAGATTCTCAATGTTGTGTTTTGTTAGATTGCATGCAACGAGTTGAGGTCCAGCCAGGAGAGATTGTGGTTAAACAGGTAAGATGTTAAAAAATTCCCTCTTTAATTTGAGAGGTTGCTTTTTCTGCAATTTCTTCTAGTAATCAACAATCTAACTTCAATGACCCTGGTACTCAATCAAATTTGGAATCATATATAAAAAGCCCAATCTCATATGATAGTGATCCAGAGAAAAATTAGTACTCAAGTAGTTGCCGTTAACAATCCCATGAATAATGTACTTTGATGTTTAAAATAGTTTGATGTGTAAGTTTGTGCTGGGACTTTTCCTACCTGTACATACTACATATCCACACATTCTGGGCATCTGGGTTTAAAATTGAGGTTTCTATCATAGAGCTAAACCCTTGTAAAAACTGCCTTGCTTTCATTTGCAAGAGGTGGAGGAGCTTTTTTTTCATATATTATTCTGAATTTAGGTTTGCATTGCAACTGTTACTGCAGAAGCCTAATTGTTAATAATTTGCAGGGTGGTGAAGGTGACTGTTTTTATGTTGTTGGCAGTGGAGAGTTTGAGGTCTTGGCAACCCAGGTTTGTTTGCCATTTTCTTTTTAGTTGCTCTGCTGCTCTATTGAGCTTATGAAATGTCCATGACTTTTATGGAGCTTTGAACTTGCTTTTTCTAAATTAATTTGCATGATGCTTTTTATTGCTACCAAAGCTCAAACTGTTTATGTTCAGTTCATGATTGATTCCCCATGTAATATAGTTTGAATACATTTCAAGTAAGTGTAGAATTAATTTGTAATTGTTCACCATTGTGGAGATCTTTTAAGTTCTTTACTGTATTCTGGCAGGAAGACAAAAATGGAGAGGTGCCAAGGGTTTTGCAGCGATATACAGCTGAAAAGTTATCATCCTTTGGAGAACTGGCGTTGATGTGGGTTATTTTCTCTTTTCTGTTTTTATAATCGTAGTAAATAACTCTCTTCTAATTTTTGCTTATTGAAAATTGAAACGCAGGCCAATAAGTGTTTAGATACTATTGATGTGAGTTACAAGTGTGCTGATAAACCATAGAAATTTCGTTTTTTAATGATAATTCTTTTGACATTTTCAGGTCCCTTTATGGGTGGTTTTGGTGCATATTTAGATTTCTGGTTTTGTTCTCTTTGTAACTTACTGATGTTTTAGTCACCTTTTTTCTTGTTTCTTTCTAGAATATTACATATAATTTACTTGATATACTCTGCACTGCAGGTACAATAAACCACTCCAAGCCTCTGTACGTGCTGTGACTTGTGGAACTCTTTGGGCTCTGAAAAGAGAAGATTTTCGTGGAATTCTGATGTCAGAGTGTTCAAATTTGTCATCCTTGAAGTTGCTTCGATCTGTGGATCTTCTATCAAGACTGACAATTTTGCAGCTGAGCCACATTGCAGATTATCTCTCTGAAGTTTCCTTCTCTGATGGGCAGACAATTGTTGATAGGGTAAATGTCTCCTTTTCAAAGTTATATTTCTTTGCTCTGTGTTCTTTTTTCAAAATTCTTTCTTGACTATATCTTATTTCTAATATTTCACCTTAATATCTGCAGAATCAAGACATCTCTGTATTGTACATTATTCAGAAGGGAAAAGTTAGAATTACTTTTGATTCCAATTTGTTAAGGAATCCAAATGTCAGCAGCCTTAGGTCTGAGAGCCTGAAAGAGAACTGTGATTCACTGAGTAGTGAAGAAATGTCTATTGAAAAGTCAGAAGGAAGCTATTTTTGTGAATGGACACTTCTTGGGGAACAAATTGGTTCTTTAAGGGCAGTTGCAGTCAATGATGTTAAATGCTCTATTTTAACAAAGGAAAAGTTTGATTCTGTTGTTGGTCCTTTGGCAAAGTTTTCACAGGATGATCAAAAGTATGTTTCATCCTTGGGTTTCTTTTTCTTTTACTTGCCATAATGACTTGTTTGATTTTACATTTTACATTCAAGCTCCATTTTTCTAAATTAAAGCTTTGGAGTTCTCTAATCATTTAAGACTTTAGACTAAAATTGAAGCTTGTTTTATGTTCCTAATGTTGCTGCTCTTATTTAGGTCATGGGACCATTCCTCAGACTTGACCAAGGAATATGTCAACAAAATTATTGATATTTCAAATTTTTCTAAAGTTAGCCTATCTCAACTGGTAAGAAATGCTTGTTTCTGCTTGTAGTTATTTTTGGAAGAATATGATTGCAAGAAGTGTTCTATCTCTGAATTGAGCTAATGAATTTCTTATGTAGGAGTGGAGAACGTGTTTATATTTGACTGACTGCTGTGAGATCGGGCTTGTTCTTTTAAAAGACTCAGGTTAGTTCTTTCTTACAATTTTTAGTGTCTTTTGTTCATTGTCATTGGTGATGCGATGCTAGAGAGTATTGCTTTTGCAACCAAAATTGGCATTAAAAATTTAAATTAAATTAATGTGTGTTCTACATATAGCCATCTTAAGTTTGCTATAAAACAAATACTTATCAAATGTCCATTTTTTTTTATTGGGTTGGCTGCCAGAAAATGTGCTTAGTTTGAAACGGTTTTCAAAGAAGAAGATCAAAAAGCTAGGAAAAGAAGAACAAGTTCTAAAAGAGAAGAATCTGATGAGGAGTTTGGGTCCTTCAGCTTGTGTGCCACAGCTTCTATGCACTTGTGCTGATGGAATGCATGCTGGCATGCTCCTAAATACATGCCTTGCTTGCCCATTGGCTTCTATACTTCACACTCCTCTTGATGAGCAATCGGCACGGTTCTGTGCTGCTTCTGTTGTTATTGCCTTGGAAGATTTACATAAGGTCTGATGTCTAGAAGTTAACAACTCCTATATTTCTTAATTCCACAGATCAATATTCCTATTGCAATTTTATCTTTCTAATCTATTTTTCATTTGAATGTCAGAATGGTATTCTCTACAGAGGGGTGTCTCCTGTTGTTTTGATGTTGGATCAAACAGGACATTTACAGGTTGGTTCTGTATTATGTCTTATAGAGAAACGATGATATATGTATGATGGCAAAGGTTTTTTTTTTCTTTTATTCATTAATGGATTTGTGCATAATGATTTTTATTTTGTTTTCTGTTGTATTGTAGCTTGTGGACTTCAGATTTGGAAAGAAGTTATCTAGCGAAAGAACATTTACAATATGTGGAATGACTGATTCTTTAGCACCAGAGATAGTCCAGGGCAAGGGCCACGGTCTTCCTGTGGATTGGTAATAACTGCAACTTGCACTTTATTTGTTTTTGTCATCTCAAACCAATTTTTGCTTTTAGTTCAGTTTTTCCTCTCTTTATCTTGTACTGAATGTCCAAAAGAACATGTGAGATTCATGCTCAATAGAAGCATTAAAGCATGTCAAATTACCTATGTTTTTGCTTACTCTTGGGATGAAGACTAATATTGCATAGAATGCAACTTGAATTCAAGTTTTTTAACTCTAGTATGTAGTCCCATTCATGTATGTTACCAGTGAGTAGATGACTGGACTGTATGAATGAGAAGAAAACACAAATTGTTAAAGCAAAAAGAAAGACTTTTGACTCTTTTACCTGCTATTTATATGCACCATAGTTTCTCATGTGTTGCTTATATGGAGGACATTGTATTGGGATGGGTTTGTCTTGGTTCTTTCTTAGCAAAGTGCAAAAGTAAAAAGGGTTTTGCAATCCATGTATGAAGTTGAAGGCTACTTTCTTTCTCTTACCATGACAGTATATTCAAACCATGTAATATGCAGGTGGGCTTTGGGAGTCTTAATCTACTTCATGCTACGAAGTGAAATGCCATTTGGTTCATGGAGAGAAAGTGAGCTTGATACATATGCAAAAATTGAAAAAGGACAGTTTATTCTTCCTCGGAATTTAAGCCCTGAAGCCATTGATCTCATCACAAAGGTATTCTTATTTTTGGTCCTAGTTTCTTAATCACTTTGACCTTGTGGAAAGGTAGAAAAAGTCTTACGTACTGCAAAACAATTTTCCAGTTACTTGAAGTCAATGAAAATAGACGACTTGGAAGCCAAGGTGCTGCTTCTGTTAAAAGTCATTCATGGTTTGACGGTGTTGATTGGGAGGGGATTAGAGACAAGAGTGTTCCAGTCCCTCATGAACTAATGTCTCGTATAACTCAACATTTAGAAAGTCATTCTGAGAACTGCACTGCAACTATTGCTTCCCCACCTCAGGATGAAGAACTGAACATTCCTGAATGGCTTGATGAATGGTAGAAGAATTAGCTATATATGGTTGTCCAGATTTTCATTATTCTAAACCCCTTTGCCCTCGGAGTTCCATTCTTTCTGCCTGTAGAGAACGACCTTAGACCTTTACTGGAAATGAAAATCAGGATAGATAAATTCTTGCAGAAATTTGTGTAAAGTCAGAGGCCTCAACTATTATATAGTTTGCTCCTAATTTTGTGATTTCTTTATTTGAAGCCATCGGAAGGAATGGTTCATAAATTTTTATCCTCAAAAACTCATTTTTTAAATATGTATTTCCCCCACTTCTGTAAATAGGCAAATATGTAAATGAGCCTTCATTGTATTTATCATTTTAATTCATGCTTGCCCCATGTACTAATCTTCCCTTTCTGCTTCATGGATTAAACATGTAATTTCCTTTTAGTTTTTTTTTTCCCCCGTAATTTTCTTTTAATCTCCAGTATTTGTGCAAACTGCTGCAGAAGAAAACGGGAAGATCTCCACTGGTCTCTTATTTTTTTTTGATACATTTAATAATGATATGTTATATAAAAGGTAATAATTATTTTTTTTATTTAAATTTTTTCTCATTCATTCGTTTTAAAATTTTTTTTACTCCATTGAAAATTCAAACTTAAAATATCAAATTTATAAGGTTAAATGCTCATTTTGGTCCCTCAACTTTATCCATTTGCACATTTTTGATCCCTAATGAATTTTCTGCATATTTTTTATCCCTCAACTCTAAAAAATACACACCGTTAGTACTTCTGTTAGTTATCTGTGAGTGGCAATTAAAAAATTTCACGTGGCATTTTCTTATAAATTTTTTATGACATAGCAATAACACATCAGAAAAAAAATACCAACTCATATGCCAACTCATATACTAAATTAAATTAGGTTAAATGCTTGATTTGGTCCCTTAACTTTAAGAAATGAACATTTTTGGTCCCTCAACAATTTTTTGCACTTTTTTGATCCCTCAACTATACGAAATGCACTCCGTTAGTCCTTCTGTTAATTTTGATCGTTAACTCGCTTATGTGGCA